TGACAGGAACAGTTAACACACTGTATAATTAAAGCAATAAATTAATTACCAGGCTTCCCTGGTGACTATTAAACACTTGAGGCAAAAAAGAGCTGTCTCTTGCTCCTTGTTGAAGGATTATTACTATTTAGTTGGAACAACCCAGGTGGCTTTCTCTCAGCCCCAAAACCCCTCCGCGTTCGCCGGCAGGTGAACGTCGCCGAGGAATTTTGGCCAATACGTGGGTGACTCGTGAACTGATTTGGGTGCCTTGTGGCAAAATCCCACAGGAGCGGACACAGACATTGGCTGCGGGAGGAAGACGCCTGTCCAGGGAAAAATGTCCCCAGTGAAACCCCACGTAGGGACAGGAGGGATTTTTGTTTTCTCTCCTGGCTTCTTTTCAGGGTGACTCACGCCAGGCAGCAGACGAATGACTCACAGGTTTTATCGAGCTGATGAGCCAAAATGCAATCTGACATTCTTATCTAAAGGCTCTACGGAGAAATCTCTGTTTAAATATCTCCTTTCCAGTGTTATGGGCAGAAAGTATTTTAAAAGCCATCCATAAAAGGCTGTTTATGCTTTATTTGAAGGCAATTTAGGAACCTCCACTTGAAATCTTCCTTGAGGTTTTCCATTGGAAGCCACCTTCCGAGAAGCTTCTTGGGGTGCAGGAGGAGAGATGCCGGGGAGGGGGAAGAGCCGACGCGTGGCTGGGAGAAACACGAGTCAGGGAAAGCTGCTCCCGAAGCAGGATGTGTCGTGTCTTTTATTGCTCAGCGCTAAGGAAATGCCCAGCCAACGTCACGCTAACTGAGAGCCGGGACGTGATTGCCGTGGCTCACGGGGCTCCGCAGTCACCCCCGTCACGCACAGAGGGAAAAAGGATGCAGCTGAATCACGGCTTATATTCTCAACAGAGCCTCTTTGGCAGATTAATACCAAGTTTCAACGGTTCAAAAGTCAACAGACTCCCCAAATTTGCAAACATGCTGAAGTTTTGAGAAGGAAAACCAGCGTATCGACTTCTCCGTTTTCTTTTTTCCACGCGCTCTTGGATTTTAATTTGATGTTTGAATAAGGTGGCCTAGTTGAACAAGGTTTGGGAGCCGAGAGAGCTTCCATCTGTAGGCTGAGCTCACCCTTCACGTGCCGCGAGAGCCGGATCACAACAGGATGCCGCGGCGAGGAGGAATGATGATCCCAGGGCAAGACCTGAATTACTGGGGTTCGTTAGCCTCCGCCGCCACGTGGATGTCACATACACCAAGGACTCAGCTTAATCCCTGAGTCCAAACCGTCTAAGCAATAAAAACTGAGAGATGCAGCCTGTCTCCTGTGCCGGAATACTCCCCAAAATCAGAGCGTGGGGTGGATAATGAGATTTAGGAGCCCAATTTTGGTGCTGTTAGACACAGGGATCTGGGGGTTCAGCTCATTCAATCTGTCATAAACCACCTCCAATGATCTTTCCTATCAGAAGAGGTGTCAACGCTCCTCGATCACGATCGTGCTGCAAAGTTCAAAATAAAAAAACCCTCAGAGATTGCCACCCCCGGTTGGAGTATGCACGGCTTCCAAAATACATCAAGTTGTGTTTTTATTTCAAGCAACAAATGCAAATGAAATCACCACCCCGGATCCAGCCTTGCTGGGCTGCAGGGTTGCAGCTGGAGCCCGGCTGAGAACCTTGTGAGTCCCAGGCAGGTGCTAAAGATTAACCAGTAGCTCTTTAAATTGGCCTGATAAGGAGAAAAGCCACCTTTGGGCTTTGGTTTGAGGTTGCTGAAGGAAGAAGCAGTCCATGAATCAGCAGGGCAGGAGCAGGGAGGTGAGGTAGAGACCTGGCAGCTCTCGTTCCTGATTTTTCTCCGCAGCCAGAGCTGGGAAGGGGCCCTGCTCGAAGATTTTTTACGTCCAGAAATAAGTGGGAACAGGGCAGCGCATCCCAGGTAGAAGGTAGTGCTTTTATTTCTCTTTTTTTTTTTTTCTCACTTTTCTAATTAATAAGAAAATTTTCTCTGGGGCAGCACCTGGGCAAAAGCCCCCTCGGATTCCAAAAGAAAAATGCAACTTGCTCTCTTGATGGGTGTTCTGCGACAGGGAGGGATAGAGCTCTCAGGGGGCTGGGCTTGCTGATCAAGATTTTCCTGTTTCTCCAAGAAGTTTCTTGTAAGTTTTTTTCTCCCCATTCTCCGCTTTATCTTCTCCTCCTTGAGCCAGTATGTTTGTGGCTGTATTTCCACCAACATTTTCCTTTAAAGCCGTCTACTTCAAGCTTTTCCTCAGCCCACCTGCTTTTCCGTGCCTGGCTTCTACGTCCAGTTGTATTTTTCGCATTTCTAGTTGTGTTTTTTGCATTCCATGCCGTAGCCAGGAGGGAGAAGCCCTGTCGGGGGCCCCCGGGGGTGGGGATTGATGGGGCAGGTGAGGCTGGGGTGGGGCGGGAGCAGCCCTGCCTGGGACCAGAGCGGGGACGGAAACGGGACGGGAGTGCGGAACATGGGCTCTGCCTCCAGAGGTGAGTCTCAGCTCTGGTTCTAGGGGGGATTTAGGGGTCTTGCAGTCTCTTTTTCTAGCATTTCCCCCAAAAAACAAATTTAACACACCCCAAGAAACCAAACTGATGAATTCTGGTCCCCTGGATGTACCTTTCATACATGTTTTTCCAACGGTCGTGAGAACAAATCACTGTTACTCTGTTGGGAGGAGCCATTAAAAGGGGAAGGAATATTGAATAAACTCCTGTGGAAGAAATGGGGTATTTATTTACCTGGCTGTTTCTGGAGCGTGTAGGGTGGGAGGAAAAAAATTAAATAAATGCAGAAACCATGTGTTTCTGTGGCTGAGGAGCTGCACCTCTTTTGGGCTGTTTTCTATTGAGTCCTGCCCAAAAGAATGTTATTCCGAATATAATTTGGGATGCTCCTCCTATAAGCAAAGGTGGTGCTTTCCTGGATTCTTGCTTGGTGTGAGCTTTAGAGTGAGCAACCCATTGTAAGCAAGAGCAGAGATGTGCTTTTATATTCACATCAGCATAATTTGAATATCTCTGTGCTTGGGCATCGGAAAGAAAATCTCATGCTCTTGACGGGTCGCCGAAAGGCGAGGTGGTTTTTTTTCAGGGTGGCAGCAGGGGGTTGCTGCAAATGCTGAAGCCTCTGAACTCGTGTTTTGTAGTGAAGGCTGGAAGGAGAATTGACCCTGGCTTGCCTCTGTGATGGGGAGCTGCTGGATTTGGGGCAGCCGAGAGAGAACAAACTTTGTAGCCTCAATGGGAACCATCCTACCCCCAGAAAAACTCTCTGTGCCGTGGCTGTAGGTGTCTGGGATTTCTGCTTTATCAGAAAGAGCCGGTGTGAAATCAGGGAATGACATTTGGAGTGAGAGATTTTTTCTTTTTTTAAAATTTTTTTTTTTTTGCTTGAGGTCAAAGCTCTCAAGGGTTGGGTCTGGGTATCCAACTCCTCTTTGCTCTTAGTTTAGAAGCCGTGTCAGGAAAAGCTGTTCTTGTGCAACGTGATTTTCCTCTCCTGCATCCGGAGCAGCTCAGCGATAGCCAAAGGTGTGATAGTTCAATTAGACAATCTTCAAGGTGTTTTTCCACCCTTAATGATTCCACAATCTGATGCTCCTGCCTTTTAGAAGGTGGAGAAGAGCAAAAAATGGAAAGCAATGTGAGTTTTCCTCTTATTACTCTCTGAATTTATAAATAACATAAGAGCTGGAGTCCTTAAAGTTGATGTGTTGAATTTTTTGACCCTTATTTATAGTGAATTTCTAATTTAGCCTCTTGTTGTTGTCTGCCTGGGACACGAGGTGCGGGTGAGCATCCGCAGATCCACCCGGGCGCTTGCGCAACCCGGCTCCATGGGGCTCGCTGTGGGAACGGCGTTCCTCCTCCGGCACGGCAGTAAATGTTTCGAGCTGCCCAATTATATTTTATGAGGGGGAAAAAAAAAAAACTTAACGAGACAGTTAAGCAACGCCCTGGCCTGAGCGCTTCTTCCTGGCAGCACCGTGTCGGGGTGACTCGGAGTTTGGGGCTGAAGTGATTTAAGATAAAATATTAGTGTGAATTTTCTGTTATATTTGTAACGCGCGACCATTTTTTGGCTTTTCTCGTCCCTCTGTGCTCCCCAAGTGGTTTTATTCTCCCTCCCTGTTGACCTTAATCCATCCCAGACCCTTCAAATATGTTCATTTTTTTAAAAAAAACAAATGAAAAAAATCGGTCTTCCTGCAGGATAGGGCTGGAAAACGAGTGGTTTGAGTTCCAGACGCTCACTCCAGAGCGATGCAGCCGACACTGGGTGTCACCATTGCACAACATAAACCCAACGGAAGGTGCTCGGGATTTTATTCTCTCTGTGAGGAAAAAAATCCCTCTCTCATTTCCCATCTATTCCCACTATGTAGTTGTGTATTTTTATTTTTTTTTCTCCGAGTTGTCTCACTCAAGCTTTGCGATGCTGCTAATAGTGAGGCCCTGAACCCAATTTAAACCAGTTCCATGCTGGTGTAGTTTGCTGGGAAGGCAGAGCCGAGTGTGGACCGAATTCCCTGGCAGCGATGGGATTACAAAGCTCGTGCATGTCTGGCAAAATTTTAGGGGTTTTTTTGAGTGAAGCTGGGTGCACGCGAGAGTTAGGCGCTTATTTTCTGGCTGCGTGTTTTCTGAAATAATAGAGGACTGGGTTGTAGAGGAAAAAAAAGTCTAAGAAATCCTCAGTGAAAATAATCTGTGAATAAAGTAACTCTGTGAGTAAAATAAGTAAATAAAACCTCAAAACCAAACAAGAACCACAAAGGCACAAAACAAGGGATCTGCATTTTTTTTTTTCTTTTCAAATGGAGTAGAATGTTTGGTGCTTTAAGCTTGCGACGCCTGCTTGGTTCCAGCCTGTCCCTCCAGCTGAAATGGAATTAAACGGGGTGGAATAATGGAATTATTCTCCCTCCTTGCCTAATGAGACGAGCCCTTCTCTTGCACAGAGAGGAGAAACACGCGTATAGTGATGACTACCCTGCTCCTCACTGAGCAAATAACGCAAGAAGACCACGGCTCGGAGGGAAACTACGTCCTTTATGGATCCTCGTGTGCCCAAATCACTGAGGAAGCCGAATACGTGAAAAAGGTATTTGTGCAGTTGGTGCTGTTCTTTGTCTTTACGGCATCGTTGAGCTGAGCGCGGTCTTTTTGCGAAATAATCTTGCGTCGTTCTTTTCCTGAAATGCAGGAAAAAGGGAATCTCATGAGCGCCCTTAATGACCTCAGACTTCTGTTTTAAGTTAAATAAGATGTCTTCATCCCCTTTACAATTAAATCTATGAAGTTGCTGAATAGTTCTGCAACTTCGAAAACGTTGCAATTAATTCCCTTTTCTTTTTCTTTTATATTTTTTTATTTTTTCCCCCATTTTTTTAGAAAATGCTCTATTTGAGGAATGAGGCTGAAGAATAGAACCTGAATTTCGTTGGAACCCTTTAAAAAGCACAGGCTGCCCTTTTGTTTAGAGTAGTTGATTTTTAACGAACCAACTTGGCGGAACGTAAAAAAGGCCAAGCACGTCCCAGCATAAATCTCATCGAGGGCAGGTTGTGTTCTTTGCATGCACCAGCTCTCAAAGCAGCGAGGAGGCGAGCGCCGAGCTCGCCTTCGGGAACGCCTCCAGGGTGGGGAGGGGAAAAAAAGTGATTTTAGCAAGATAAAATGACTTGAAGGGAGCAGTTTTTGAGCAAAGAGGCAGCTCCCAGGAAGCAAATGCATTTGGAAATGTCTTGTTGGGATGGTTCAAAGAAGCTGGAGCAAGACATAGTTCTTTTAACGGGAGCGTTGGGCGATTATTCACGTGCATTTTGGAGCATTGGGTGATTATTCACGTGCATTTATGCGGCCTTGCGCTGTGATATTGTAAAAGCTCAAGAACTTGATCCCTCAAGATGGTTTTTCTCTTATTTTTAAACTAATTTCCATGTGTGTTTTCCCTCTTGCAGCTCCCTCGAGTCTCGGGCAATAGAGCGGAGTCACAGGGCAGTGGTTGGAGCCACAGTCCTGTTGCAACGACGATGAGGGAAACGGAGGAGCAGCTGCTGCTGGTGAGCAGGGAGAACCAAGTGCTGAAAATCAAGGTTAGTGGGATTATTTTTTTTAATGTTTTGGGTGAATCCGTGTGCCTTGAAGCCCAGTTAGAGATGGGGCTGGTGCCTGCTCAGCAATTCCCACCAGTACCTTTGATTGTCAAAGGGGTGATGCTCAAGGCTGAGGGAATCGGCATTTATTTGGGAATTAAAACACCTGTTGGATTGCCCACACGTGTTGAGGGTTCTTTTCTTTGATGAGGGCACATATAGAATTTTCCTCTTGTATAGAGGGCTGATTTTTTTTACAGCGTGGGATCTCTAGCGTCGCTTTTTTTAAGAGCCCAATATCCATGCATCGTCCAATTATTCTTTCTAGCTGGAAGCCACGCGAGAAGCAGGCGTACAGGCTCTCAGATCTGCCTCCCAGAAACTGTACGAGAATTACCAGACGCGGTCGGAAGAACTCAAAAAAAGCCACGAGAAGGAGAAGCAGCAAATACAGGTACCGATCTCCCCCACATCTGGGCATCCTGTTTGCTGTTAAAATGTTTACCCGGGCTCCAGCTCTACAAATTTTGACCTGGGAGCTGCTGCGCCTTCTCCGCTAGTGCAGCGGGGAAGGCAAAGAGGGAAATGAAATGGAAAAATTGTATTTTATTCCTGATTATTTTTTTTTGGAACCGTAGAATCCTAGAATGGCCTAGGCTGGAAGGGACCTTAAGGATCATTTAATCCAACCTCCCTGTCATGGGCAGGGACGCCTCTCAACTAGATCACATGGGGACCAAACGGGGATTGAACCCGCGACCTTGGTGTTATCAGCACCATGCTCTAACCGGCCCCCTCAGTAGAGTTACTCAAAACTCCTTGAGTGTCATCTCCATCCAGCTCCCTGCGCTAACGCCCTTCTCGGTGGCAGGCTTTCAACCTCGAGCAAGAAGAAAAGCTCCGGCAGAGCTCGGAAAACGCCGGCCGCCTCGCCGAAGGCATTGAAGAAAAACGCACCCGCATCGCCGAGATGGAGAAGCGCGTGCGGAGGATGGAGGAGGTACGTCCTGCTCGCTGCCCCCGGCGCTCGGAGAGAGGGGTTCATTGCTTTCGGGGTTTGTTGTTGGGATTGGAGAGGTGTTTCGCAGGCAGCTGAGAACCTTTAGCTAAAAAGAATAAGTTTGCAAAATAAAATGTGCCATTTGAGCTCCCTCCTTCAGTTTTTTGAGCTCCCTCTGAGTTATTTCGGCACTTACTTAAAAACTATAGAGCGTGAGGGAGAAGCCTTAATTTGCAACTATCAATTGATATTGAGTAGTTGCTCTTTCATCTTCCCCCGTCGTCGCCTGTTTGGCTACGTTTTCATTTAAAATGCCACCCTAGCCTTAAAAACTGCTTCTTTTGACTCTCGGAAAATTGCTAAGCATCCAAAAACCCCAGCCAGGTAAATCTCTGCTGCAGCAATCCAGCGACTGTGTGTCGGGGAATTTCTTCCCCTTTTATTGCAAATTTTCTTTGGTGGTGGCGGTTGCGTTGGGAGAAGCGATGGCTCCGTGCGTCGTTTGTTCCCGTAGGAAAAGAAAACGCTGATAGAAAAGAAAACATCATTTGAGAAGATGCTCCAGGAGATGATATCAAGGGATGAAGGCGGCAAACGGTAATTAAATGCACGTGATAAAGTGTTTTTACTTTCTGGGGCATTATTTCATGTAGCGTTCCACACGATCACAGTCCTTCTGGTAGTAAAATTATCCATGAATACGAAAGCAGCTGGTTCAAAGCCGCGATTCCTTGAAGAAACTTAGACATGTTGATGTCCTACAGCTCTTCAAAGTTGATTCTACTCAAATTCTGAGTTTTCTGGGCGATCCCTGGGGATTTGAACCCCCCTCTCGAGGTGTTTCTGCTCTCGCCTGCAGGAGCCTGGATCTCCGGTGGCAGATCTCCACCCTGCGCGAGCAGATCTCCCACCTGCAGCGCGTGATCCAGGAGCAGCACCGCGGCCTGCGCGGCGTCATCCAGGAGGTCAGGCTGTCCCACTGGGCGGTCGGGTAAAGAAACTGGAAATACTGGGATGGGGGCTTTGGTCTTAAGAATATGTTCTGGGGCGGTGAGCGTCTCGCTCGGCGCGTCCCACGCTCGGGTACCCGTCAGCGTTTTGATGTCGAGATGGGAATGGCATCCCTAAAAATGGGATTATTGTGGAATTTGAGACCTGCCTCCCTAATTCATGACATGCCACGAGCTGTTTTATGTCCCAGCTGCTTTTGTACGTACGAGCTCCCGCTCTACTCGCCTGGCAGGATGTGGATTTGCTTTTTCCCACCTGGTTAACAGAGGCCCTGCGCTAATTAGCTTCCGTAATCAGGTTTCTGTACATAAGCCAGCAAGAGGTAGACTTGTTATCCTAAGCAAATGCGATACCATGCGTCGAGAAATTGGTTTATAAATCATTTAAATCAGTCACTTTGAGTTCTTAGGGACTTGGTCTGTGATTCCTCGGGCGTGCTAAGACAATGCAGAGACTTTTTTTTCGATGTATTCAGGTTTCACATGTCTTACGGACTTCCTTTGCTACGTCTTAGGCAGAGGAATTGAACAATGAGCTCAGAAGCCAAGATAAAAAAATAGAGAGCCTGACAGAGAAGCTGACTGCACTGGAAGCACAGGTCAGTAAAAAGATTTATCGAAGGGAGAGAGCAAAAATCGTTTTCTGCAGACAGAGGGCCCTTCGCATATGTCAATATGATAGGTTTAAAAAAAAAAAACCCGCACAAAAAAACCCAAAAAACAAGCAGAACACAAAGAAAACCTGCCCAAAAACCTTTCGGAAGGAGTGGCAGGTCCTAGCTGGCATTCAGGTTTGTCTCTTGGCTGCTACACTATGCTGAGAAGGGTTTTATTTTATTTTATTTTTTTATTCTTTGCAGAATAAAGAACTGAAAGACAGGGTGGAGTTCTGGTCGGGCCGGCCCAAGGCTAAAGTTTCAAAAGCTGCCTGGACAGAGTAAGTTACGCCAGGAGGTGCTGGGACTCTTGAGTTACAAACCTCTTGCCTTAAAATAAGCCCGGCTTGAGCAGGTAAGAACCAGCTCTACCTTCTCGTGCTTCACTCTGCAGCGCCCCGCAAGATTCCGGAGCTTTCGGAGCATCCCCTTACCTGCTGGTCACCAGGCTGAGGAAACAGAGCTGAAAGAACGCCTGGAAACTCATTTCCTACCGCTGTCAGAAGGACTTTTGCTGCTTGTTGTTCCTGCAAAGCACCTCCGAGCTCTCTGCAAAAGGTGCTGCCGAGCTGGAAAGAATAAACCTGGAAAGAGAAGGGAGCACAATGTTAGGGTGTCCTCCTGCAAGGACTGAGTGGAAACGTTGTCTTCTATTGAGTCTTGCTCAGAAGGACGTTATTCCAAATAATTTGCGATGCTCCTTTTATAAGCGAGGGTGGCGCTTTCCTGCTTGGCGCGAGCTTTCGAGCGAGCGACCCGTCATAAGCAGAAGCGCGGAGTTGTGCTTTTGGACATCATCCTTGATGTTGCCTTTCAGAAAAGAAAATTTCCCTTTGGCAGTGGAGTATCCAGATTTATATGATTTTTGCTATTTTCCCTAATTCTATTTTGATAGAAAGAAGAATTTTTTTGTAAAAGAAAAGAAAAAAGCACACTGTGGTGAAATTCCTCCTGGCCTTTAGGGTGGGCATTATTAGAGGCACTTTAGGAGGGTTTGACACCTTTTACCCTTTGTGTTTGTTTTCTTACGTGCAACAGATTTGCTTAAAATTGCGTGTGAGGTGATGCCAATGCTTCCTTGCCTGTATCATCCAGCAATTAATCTAAAACTACAGGAGAAAAACAGTTAAAATTTGCCTTGACTGATGGCAATTCTCATCTACAGCGAACGTCCAACGCTCCCGAGCTGCCAAACCGGGCAGTGAAGGAGGATTTAGGGAGGACGTCGCCCAAACCTTCCCAGGTTCAGGCACGTTGATCTAAATTTCCATTTCTCGAGGGCTCGGCGTCATGTCGCCCTTCACTCCGTCATCAATTTTTGCCTTCGAGAACCGTCGTTACGGAGAGTTTCCGTCCGCGTGGTTTATGTCTCTGTCTCTGGTTCCTCCACCAGGTGAAGAAAAAAATCACAGCTTCGTTCTGCTGCCATCTCGGCCTCGGGGTGAAGGAGGTGCTCCCCTCCTTTTGGTAATCGACTTAATTGTCGTGCTGAGAAGCTCAATAATTTTATTAGGTTTTTCGGCACAGAGCAGAAGGCCACAAATGAAAGGACCGGTTAATGAAACGGGAGCATTTCTCAAACTCAAAGTTAAAAAAAAGCAGCCACGTTGCTTTATTTTCTTCATGTATTTTAATTGCTGGTATTCAAGATAATTCCTTTTTTTTTTTTTTTGTATTATCTCAGATGACGTTTTGCGTCAGATGACGCAAATGGGGAAAAAAATTAATTTTGGCTTGTGCAATTACTGCAGTTCCTGTTGTTATTCCCTTTATTAATGCTTTATAGAGGCACTCGAGGCACGTGCAGATCCAGGCTCGAGACCTCCCTGTGCTAGACAAAAGGACAAAAATCACAGGTTTTACCCCAAAATTAGAGCCAGGGAGTTTTCTGGTTGTTCAGAATACCTTTCTGCAGATACGTAATAGAAATAATCAACTAAACTGCATCGAATGTGCACTTGAAAAGAGGCATTTAAGGCGTAAATAAATTAGCCAGGAAAGAAGAATTTGCGCCGCGGAGTAGAAAGGCTTTGTCATTACTCTCAGGAACTTAATTTTTCACCATCCCTCCTCCTGTGAGATCGTATTCTCCTCCTGTGAGATCATATCAGCGCGGATTTAATGTTTCACTCGCAGCATTTCTTTGAATTTTATTCATTTATTTATTTAGTTTCAATAAAGAAAAAAATCAGCTTGCATGTTGTATAAATAGAAACATAACTCTCGGCATCCTAACACTCTCCAGTTATCAGCTGGGTTGTTGTTTCCCTTCTTGGCAAACTTCATGATGTTCTTCATCTGTTCTTCAGGATTTTCCTCCCCAAAACTTCCTTGGTCGTGTGGCGGCGAAAATCGAGCAGGATATTGCTCTGCTCTTCGGATCCCGGTGCAGGGAGGGTGAACAAACAGATTCTATTGGAAAAAAAAAAGAAGGCATTTACAGTTTATGGATTGTTTTTGGAGAAATTTCTGTTAGAAATGCACTTTTTAGAGACAAAATATGAAAGAAGAGTGAAGAGGTGATCTCAGCAGAAATGTCACTCGCAGGACAGGCTGGAAAACATCAAATAAAAAGCGTTTGCGGTGATTTATTATCCATTTTCTATTTTCTATTTCTGCGGGCTGGTCTGGAAGGGTGTGGGAGGTGTAAGTTGACCTCTTCGAGGTTTTTTTGCACGGGGCCAGAAAAGTCTAAATGAAAATGAGGACCTGAGGTTTCTTTCTTTTTCCCTTTAATGACTTTTACAACTTCTTTGTCATAATGATATATAACTATAGATAGATATAATTTCACATTTTTCACATTCCCTTCTTTCTATATTTTTTTTTCAAATTCACACATTTCCTTCTTTTTTCTACACCTCCTTTCCCCATTTTCACCTTCCCTTCTTTTTTCTACACCTCCTTTCCCCATTTTCACCTTCCCTTCTTTTTTCTACACCTCCTTTCCCCATTTTCACATTCCCTTCGTTTTTTCTACACCTCCTTTTTCCCATTTTCACCTTCCCTTCTTTTTTCTTATACCTCTGTTACGTATCTCGCAAGGAAGAGAGGCAGCACCAAGGACTTCCAGCCTCACCAGGGAGCACCACAGCAGCCAAATTAATCGCAGCAAGGACCAGCAAAGGGAATACACTTAAAAAAATAAATAAAATAAAAATAAACACCAATTAGGATCCCACGGAGCTTTGGGGTCATGAGCCATCGATCCAGTTTCCGAAAAAAATGAAAATTAGCTCTCACACAACCCCCGAAAAGAGCTGTGCACCGGCTTCTCATCCCAGTTTCCCCACCCACCCAGGAACTTTGTTCTGCTTTCTTTACCCAGTGGAAATGCACCAGTTAGAAGGACAGTGACAGATGTACCTGTGCTCATTTATTAAATTCAATTCCATTTTTAAAAAATCTGCATATTTAAATTTCCCTCTGAGCTCGCTCGGAGAAGACAGTACACCTGACCGGGCGATTACACCACCAAGCGTGAGAAATTATAGAAATTAGAAGGAGACGCGTGAGGAATGTAGAACAAAGGGGCTTGAAGGACAACAGGCTCCCGAAACCCAGTGGGAAGAAAATAAATCCCAGGAAAATGAGCTCAGTGAAGTCATTATAATTGATAAAGGAGGTCGTGGAGAAGGGTAGAGAGAACACAGCGAGAACAAGAAACTTTGGAAGTTGAGCCCCAATCCCGCAGCTTGGGACGCGGGGCTCAACCGCTCTCCCCC